GCGTTGCCGATCAGGGTACGCTTGTGCGTTTCGAATTCGTCATGAGTCTTAACGAATGCTTTCGCTCTAGAGCGCCCTTGCCGCCCATTTCATTCTTCAAGATGTGAGATGTATCAAATGACATTGAATTTGGACAAAGCCATACAAGCTATCTACATACTTAATCCCTTACTCTTCTTCAACGACTATTTGGTGACTGGACTTAAGCTGACTTATTGAATGTTTTTTGTTTTATTTGCTGCAGTTTATGCTTTAAGTTCTCCCATTGATTGTTTAAGTGGTGGCACGTTTTCGGAGTCAAATTAATAAATAACGAAGATCTTTCGTTTAAGTCAAGACTACATTGAATCGGCTGTAAGTTAATTCACTGACTGAGAAGATATGCTCCAGCTTTCATGTTTGCAAGTGCTGGGTGTATGATAGTTGGAAACCGAATATTCGTATACGAATGATTTATTCGAAATTTTCGAAACATTATGGAAAATAGTCCTTCGAATATAGAATAGAGAGCGTGGAAGAAGTAATGTTCGAATATTCGAATATCAAGGACCATTCATTTGAACATTCGATGCCCAAAGACAGCTGTTCTACATTGGGTGCAAGTATGTCTCCGATCGGTCAGTTATACAAATGAATGATCATAGGACAGAATGGCTAACAAAATTTTCTTTGTAAGGCAATCGTGAGTCATGTCAGAGCATAATCAGGACAAGTCTTGTGCATAATTCATTTGGAGTGGTGAACTATCTTCTGGAAATCGCGTCTGCAGCAGATGAGATGCGACATCATGCGCAGATACCTCCAACCTCTAAACTGGGTGAAGCAACAAAGCCGTCATTAGGCGTCGCTTTAGCAGACCAATGAACCTCAAACAGCTTGCAGAAGCATGTGAAGAACCAGCCCTATAAGAGATCACTTATTGGCAACATTCATTCCTTCTCCCGAGATCTCCACTTGCCCTACAGCCTAATCACCGCCCACGTGTGAAAATATCTGAAAGATACTTTGACGGCAGGCCAGAGCAAGGCGGTCGCGAGGACCTGAGTACTTGGCTTGTGGCGGCAGCCTATATGTCAGCCACAATATTAAATCGGCTGTCCTTTATAGTCAGGAGGCGTAAAAAAAACTAGAGTTAAAATGTTGCAAAATTCATAGAAGAATAATACTTTGCGCAGACGTGTAGGTTGAACAATAATTATTTTGAACCTGAGTAAAAGAGGTGGCAGATCTCTTACAACAACAGTACATGCCAAAATGCAGCTAAAACGCCTTCGTGAAAATATCTTACAACAACTGTACTCAGCGACTGGTAATTTCCGACAAGTACTAGTTAAGCAGCTAATATACGAATATTTCCATGACTTTTCTTTTCCTGATTTAGATGCGCACGAAACTACCATGTAGGCGTTACTGTAGCCTTCCTCGTGTTCTCGCAGTGCTAGTCTCATTGTTAGAACTCACGCATGTTGACTCACGAAATTAGAAACAACTACACATTCCAAAAGCTTTTCCATGTCGAGTTTGTAGCTTTGGGAGAATGTTCTGTGTAGCATTGGGGGAAACTTCTGTGAAGAAGAATTAATGCGGACTTGAAGCGGTTACTAGGTAAGGCTTAGTGGCCCTCTTAAAGGAAAGTGAACACCTTGAACTACATGTTTGAGTAAAATTTTTCTGTTTCCTAAGTAGAACCCTGATCAAGCGACAATAACCTAGTCATTCTTACCACTTGCTACGCACATAATTATCAGCTACAAATCTAGCTCAAATATGGCGATCAATTGTTTTGCAGAAAAATGCGACAAAGAAAAAGCCAGCAACGTTTGAGTTACTATTAGGTTGTCTTATAAGTTTTTTCAGTTTTGAGCAATAAGTCACAAAATTGTCAATTTTGATTGAAATGCAGAGTACCCTTCGATAGAGCAAAGCGAGCTCTACAAGATGGCATGTAAGAGTTCGCACCAGATTTAGCACATCACTAGTTAGGAGCTAAAATCTGAGAACTTTTGGATGTCCAAAAAATTGAAAATTCCCTATAACGTTTTCCCTAAAAAACTTACCAAATTCCAAACTCGCTCACGCATATACACTCCACACAATACATTCATATGTGCCGTTGCTGTGTTTGTTTCTGTGCTAGAAACAGAAAAAACCAAATTTTTCAAGCTTTCAGAAAAGGGATGCTACGCTGTTTTCATACAGTATACTACAGGCATTTGAAAGTACAGTCACAGATTCCTAGATTTCTATGAGCTCTAGTTACCGAGAAATATTAGTGTCAACATGAATTACCTTGGCCAAAAAGCTAAATTACATTTCTCAAAAACTAGCGCTTCCAGGAAGCTGAAAATTCATCGATGCATTACTGAATTCCTGTAGTATACATTTATCTGTGTGAAAACAGCGCAGCATCGTTTTTTGGAAGCTTGAAAATTTGGGTTTTTTCGGTTGTTAGCACAGAAAAAAAACAGCAACGGCACATTTGAATGTGTTGAGTGGAATGTATATGTGTGAGCGAGTTTTGGATTTGGCAGGTTTTCTTTGGACAAAGTTATGGAGAATTTTCATTTCTGAGCATTTAAAAGTCCTCAAATTTCGGCTTTTAACCCGTGATGTGCTGAATCTGGTGCAGACACTTACATGCCATCTTATAGCGCTTGCTTTGCCCTATCGAACGGTACCCTGCATCTTGATTAAAATTGAGAAATGTATGACTTATTGCGGTAAAAAGTCAAAATTGAAAAAAACTTATGAGACACTAATAGATTATTCGAATTATTCGTATAGTCTAACATTCGGACAGGTTTGATGAGCAGTCGAATATTTGACCATTTGTATTGGGGTGTCTCATAACTTATACCGTTTTTATTACAGCCGCGTCTTTTTGTCTCTTTCCATCAATTGATGTGGCTTAAGTAATCATTCGACAGAGCAAAGTGAGTTCTACAAGCTGGCTCTCTACAGTCTGCCCAATTTGTATTCTACGTGAAGTTTTGGGCTGATATATAGCAGTCAAAAACAAACTGTACCGTGAAAAATCGTTCACCCTCTGCCACATCTCGGCCACAAAAATCCTTAGAATTTCCCCATTTATCGTAACATATGCCTGACACATCAAGCATTCCAATGAACACTTTTCATGTCTTCCCCATGCATAGAAATAAGAAAAAATAGATGAAGTAAGATGGCAGCTCCGCCCCCAGAAGTTTTGAGCTCCTCCCAAAAACTCGTGATCCTATAGCTCATACATACAGAAATGCAATCATATATTTGTACCCCTAGTAGGTGCTCTAGTTTTAGAGAAATCTGATGTCTAAGGTAAAAACGGTAAAGATATTATGAGACGCCCTAATAATTATTCGATTATTCGAATAGTCGAATAGTCGACCAACCCCTGGGACTGGTCGAATGGTTAAATGCATTTATTCGATTATTCGTTCATCCGATTTGGAAGTGGGACTATTCGAATATTTGAATTCGAATAATCTGAAAATTACAGATCGGATAATATTCGTTCGTTTGAATACTATTCAAAAGCCGATGCATATAACTTTTTGGTATTCTTCTTTGACGCCACTAATGGTTTCCAGATTTCACAAAAGTGCATCAGATAGATCAGCTCCGATACTTCCTGAAAAGGCATTTGGGAGTCACTGAATTATCTTTGTTTCCTGTTTTTTAATAAACACACTCCCCTAAGCGGACTTTACCATTAGTAGAAAACAAGATGAAGCCTTCGAATGAGCTGCAGAAAATCTTGGTGTACCGGTGGCACTTTTTAGGGAGAACCTTTTAATCGTATTGAAAACATATGCAGTCTGAGATTTGACAAAACACAGTTTTGATAAGCGTTGATCAGGTAAAGAGCGCTTGGCGCATAATACAAACAGAGAGAGCATCCTCTAAGAACCAATAGTACTGTCAACGCGAGTCTGTAAAATTTGCAGCACTTCATAACTATGGCATTGCATTCTTCAGTCCTATTTTATCTTCGTCCACTTTTTTAAGACGATGTAGTCTGGCTGAAAAAATGGTTCTTGTTAAGACAAAGATCTACAAAAAGAACTTAGCCAATAAAAGCGCCGAGAAAATTCGCCTTGGACCACCCAGATATAAGTCGATGACTAGCCTTGTTACAAAGCACAAAGGTTAGTGGATTATCAGGTTGTCCATTTTCTGAACTCGGAAGTTAGAACATGGATTATGATTTTGTCAACAGCGAGAAGAAATGTGATGAATCGTACTAAAAATTTGGCGGAGATTTTACCAGGTGGGCTCGAAAGTGTCTCTCTTGAGCTCTCGAAAATCAAGATTGTTCCTAAAATATCAGTTTGCCATGAATTATTTGCTCGTTCATTGCTGCTGCTTGGTAAATTTCTAATGAAAAGACTCTCAGCGGTGTTCTTATGGTTTGGTAAATTTCATACTGTTATTGCCAGCAAAGAGTTTCTTTTTTGACAAATAATGAAAGTTAACAGGCTATTAAGCATTTGACAACCAAATCTGTTTATTCATTTGAACAATCAAACTAACAAAGTATAATCATTATATTATCCTTGAAGTTGCAGTAAAGTAATTTTTACTTGGCTTATTAGAACAAGGATCAAGCTTCAAATGGGTCCAGTTGAAGACATATAAATTACGACCTTTTTGCCTTCCCGATCACAGTTGGTCTTTTAGCGAAATGCTGTTAGTAGGCATTTTGCTCTAACGGTAAGATCAGTCTATAACTGGTACAGTACGTGGCAATCCAAAGATGCGATCTTTTATTATTGAACGTACGATATTCATTCCTTGCTTCTTCCTCCATTCTACTCATTATTACCTAGCGAACAAATCATCTTCAGAGAAAACACTGCACAATCCATTGTTTCTGGAGCACCTGGAAAGCTTCTAATCACATATCTCTAGTCAGGACAGGTTAATAGGATGACAAGCGGAAATCCCCCTGAATCTCAAGTGCGCCTCCTCATGTAGGCGGGATTTAGTTTTTCGCCAGCTCTCAACGCACTCACATTCAGTCGACTACCGGCAGCCAAGCACGATGGGAGAAGAGGTACGTTGGCTCTGATTTTGCTTTATTCAATCAGGGATACCCTTTGCTGTAGTCTGTATGGTTCATAGCTGCACTTAGTTTCTAGAAATGTAGAAATTTGAGAGATAGAAAAGGCTGGAAAGTCTGATGGTTCACTTTTGAGATGTGTGCGCTTGCTGCCTACAGTACCTTTCTCTTTTGAAGACCCGAGAGAAAATGTCTGTACTTCTTGAATACTAACTATAGTTGCAATTCACTTCAAAAGAATATCTCGAAAAGCTGTCAGTGAGTCATAGCACGACAGTCTCGAGCTGGCATACTGTCACTCGATCATATCCTTCGCTGACTCGCAGTATAACTCGCTCTGAGTGTTTGCTCGGCTCACGTCAGTTCCCCACGCACTCAGCGCAGTGAAGCTTCTCTTCCTGAACAAATGATAATATCACAAAAGTCTCCAAAATGCTTCCAAATTATCTCAGGATTACCGTGAGGACGAATCTCGACCACGCAAGAGATGGACGTTGGAGCAGTTGAAAAGCGGCAACACGTTCCTGTCGATGCAGGCCGCTACCAACAAGTTCGACTCCCAGAGTGGAATGACGGCACCTGGAATGCCAAGATGGAATATCGTTCGTGATAAACAGCTCGGGTAAGAAAATACGCTTTTTGCAACTTCTGATTGGTTTTTCCTTATGAGGGGCGGGCGGCGCAACTACCGTATCCCAGCGACAATTACTCAGAAAGTTTCGGCTGCGAGTTATAATTGCACCATTACTATCTTGATATCTCAAGCTTGAATCTTTCAGGTTTAAATCTTCACATGCATCTTTAACGCTACTTTCTGTTTTTTATTTTTTTTTTGTACCGCTTTATTTGTTCTAACAAGCGAACTTGCGTAAGCTCAGAAGAAAAAAAAAATAGTTTACGGCGCTGGAATTATTTGCCCAATGTTATCGAATACAAATTTATCTTCGTATTTGTTGATTTAGCAGAAAAAATAGCTGTACACAACATTAATCAATAAATTTCCCAGTTATATTGAACCTGATCGCCGTTCGGAGAATGTTCTGCGAGTACAATGCGGAACAAATCAGTATGCATCCCAAAAAGGTGAAACGCCAATCGGAGCAAGTCGATTCCAGGTACGGTAGCATACCTTTGAGCATTCAGTGCCAATAAAAAAAAATCTAGAAATTGGTTTTTAGGTACCAAAAGTGTCCTACAAGAAGGAATGGGAAACCATTCTGGACAAAGAAGGCGAGAAAATTATTCCAAAACAATCTGGAGATTATGGACTCGCTACACAGGCTGGAGAGGTAGAAACTGAATTTTTTGGAATTCACATTCACAAATTTATTTACATAGGTGTCTATGGGAGCACATCGTAATCAAGTGGCAAACGTGCGCGGACGTCTTCCGCATGATCGCCGCACCCATGGAGTGCTGGTTTTCCAAAATGGTAATATTATAGCCCTAGAATGATTTGTTCTACTAGAATAAAATATTTTTCAGGAACGAACATCTTCGCTTCTCAAACGGGAATGTCAGCTCCGCCCGGTATCGGCGCCGTACGACAAGCGACACAGCGAATTGAAGGCTTGGATATGACGTAAGTAAATGGACTGAACTTCTTTTCTCCTCAGTTTTAGCGAAGTTTTACTTATTTTCCTATTATGGTATGTTACACCTGCTTATCACATTTCAAGCCGAAAAATTACCAATTACCAAGATTCTCAATGATTATCTCATTCAGGGAGGACCAACAACGTCGTGGTACCGAGTTTACTCCGTGGTACTCAGGTCAGAACAAGTTCGCAACCCAAGCCGGTAGCGGAGGTTTCCTAAAAGTTCGAGACGTTCTTCCTCATACCGTGGTAAGTATTTTTCCTTTTATGGCTACGAAATTAATTTACAGGAAAACTGATCCAAAATTGCAGGGTGGCAAAGAGATTGAAGAGGACATGAAGCAGAAGTCCGAAGGAATTGTTCCTCTTCAATCTGGTACCAACAAGTTAGCCTCTCAGGTAAACTTTTTTCACGCTCTTGTCTTGATTTATTCAAGAAAAGTTGACCTTGATTTGTGATCCACTTTTTTCGTGCATAAAATATTGATTTTTTTATTTTTTAGAGAGGAATGACTGGCTTCGGTACGCCAAGAAACACTATGTTGAAATCTGGATGGAAGAAGGAATGGTAAGTTTTTTTTGCAATACTGCTTCCAATCATCACCTATTTTCACTGGATGCTTAATGGTTTAAAATACTGGATACACGCATTACAAGCATCTCACACTCGCTCAAGCTCAAAATCCTAATGTTGAGCGCGGCAACGTCAACTGCCAATGAGAAATAAACACTGTGCAGTGCCCTGAGTGTTTGCATATCCGCGAAATAGTGGGAGGGATAAAGAGCTGTGCGCGATTTCCGCAGAGTTCACGCGGAAGGCAGAGAGCAGGAAGGACAACAAACAGACGATGTCGTCGGATAAGAAGCGCATGCCGTAGAGAACTGGTTGCCACCCGCGCGCATTGTGTAACCCTCTTGACGCAAAGTTCTGCCACAGTCTGACGGCATGAGAGGTTATGAAAAGATTATACTCACTAGGAGATTTATAGGATTGAGGAGTACGAGTTGGCGCTGAAAGAGTGGGAGGAGTCCAAACCGCCAGGTAGTGCGTCCAGCGCCGATCCTTTCGGACACTACAAGAAGAAGTTCGAGGAAAGGGAGGTAGGGAGCCGAAAGAAAAAAAAACAGATATTCATTCTTTGATTTCCTTTTCATATAATTCCGCTTCAGTCATCGCGCCAATCAGAAGTTGACACTCAGTCGAAGGCTGCAGAAGAAGAGAAGGAGGTGGGCGCTGTTCTTAGAATTATCCTTTTTCAGATAAGTAGTAGAATAAGTCCCAGTCACAAAGACTTCACAGCTATAGTACCACAGTTATGAAAAAAACCAATGACCAAAGGAACATAATAAAGTCAAAGAAGAAACAGTTTTTGTTGACGCCATAATTTTCTCAAATTTCAGGAAGAAAAAGAAGAATTAGAAGAGGAGGTGTGTTTTATTCACAGTTTGAAGCACTTTTACCACCTTTTCGAGTTTATTCCCACTGCACACACCCTTCAACTCGTTGAATTATAATTATAATTTTCCAGGAAGAAAAAGAAGAAGTTGAAGTAGAAGAAGAGGTGTGTCTAAAAATACTTTGTTTGCGCACACCTTTCTTTACAAATATATATATGTAATATTTTTTAGGAAGAAAAACCAGTAGAGGAAGAGGTGTGTTCCACAGATCAATGCACTCACGATTTTGTTTACCAGTTTCCACCACAGCCCTTCATTTCTTGAGCTTTGCACACACCTACCCGATCCTTTGTTGAAAGACCATGTGATGCCGATAGGCTTCGCTCCACCGACAACTGGTACAAACTGCAAGAATAAGTGAATGGCAGTTCTACCCGTAGTCGGAAAGGCAGAATCTACTGGAAAATATGGTCTCTCCCTCCCCGTCTTATATGATAGCCCCATCCATGGCATCACTGTCAAAGTCTTCTGCCATCAGATTCTCTAGTCTTGTTTTCAGGAAGAAGAAGAGGAGGAAGAGGAAGAAGAAGAGGAAGAAGAGGAGGAGGAAGAGGAGGAGGAAGAAGAAGAGTAGACTATTCGAGTCCACTTTCCCCTTAAAAACCTATTTCATTGATCGCCTGTATAAAATGACGTAGTCATTGAGCGCACATCTATGTGTTACGTAACTATGCGACCATTTTCTGTAGTTGTGCTATGGCAGTTGAAATACATCTTTGGAGACCGATGTTGAACAGTTCAAGATCTGAGTGTAGTTACAACATTGTGACAGTAAATAAATAATAATCAGTATGACCTGAAAACTGCATGAGGACGTCAAGTTATTTTAGCAACTCGCAAGAATTGCTCAATGAAAACTGGAGGTTAGCAAACATTTCATTTTTCTGTTATTTCAGAAAACATCATGGAACCAATTTTGAACAATATAGGCATTGTTTGAATTTATTTAAACTTAACCAAGGTGGTATAGAAATCAATGGCTTAAGCATTTTGGCGATGGCCTCTTATCGCGCTGTAACAAAAATGTAACCGCGACAGGTATGGTATCGTAAACCTAATTGCAAAAATATCTTAATCCCTACATGTCGGCACATCCGCGATGAATTAAGAATTCTGTTATCAAAAACATGTATAAAAAAGCATCGCAAGTTTCAGCACTTCAAGAACGCAACCATTCTTTGAGCGGACAATGTAGCAAGTAGTAATGGGTACCCTTTACAATAGTTCCACGAATCTCAACGTTCTGCTGCTAGACGGGCAAGTTTCGAGGATTAATAGATGTCGCTTTGCCCACCCTTCATTTCAGAAAGTCAGGGTTCGCAAAAGCTTAGATCAGGCCGGATTACAAGATATGGTAAGGGTGGTGAAGATACCCAGCAAGTCTCAAGCAGCAATTGATGCGTCGCTCCTATGATCGTCTCTGCATGAACCCAATGCTCAATTTGTTCGTATGGTAACGAGGGAGATTGCGTGGTATCCGGCGATGTCGATTTGGACTTTCAGCCCCGCTTGCTTGTCTACCAAACAAGCAATGTTGTGGGGCTGAAAGTCCAAAATCTATACTACTTACATAGGGAAAACAGGACGTTTACTAATTTCTGTCAAAGAACATCTAGATGGTTTGCAAAAGTCTAAAATCTATACTACACTTGGGTCATCCTATACTCTTGGGTCATCCGAGTGTCATTAAAACCACCATAGTAGTTGCCGCATCAGTTTTAGTGCAAGAATCTGAAATTCCTCTTCAAGAGTTTTACATCTCCGCTGTTCTCCCCAAATAGTTAGAGAAAACCATAGTTTAGCCATGATAAGTGATCTTTCAGCTTATTAACGTCTTGAGGACTATAAAGAGACAACGGACGAGAGTCACGTCAGTTTATTCAGTTCTGTCATCTTAGGACAGAGGACAGTAGTGGCCGATGTAAATCTATCGCGGCAAAACTTATGTTACTGCGCTCTGAAGAAGGCGATCGCCCGCGCGAGCCATTTAGCAATTTCTTAACCATTTTGGTTAAAGGCAGCGTACACCCATAATCTAAGTTACTCAGTTTCCTATACTGTGTGTATCTAGGGCCCAGAAGGAAGACCAACTACGTTGGTCCGGTCTCCCAATGTTGCTTTTAAGAGGAAACCCGCCTAATTCTCTTTTCGCTCCGCCCCTTTCCTTGCGGTCCGCTTCCTTCGGACAAATTCACGACAGCGCAAGCTGCAGTCGCAGTTATTGCAGGCTGTCATGCAGTTGCAGCTGCTCCTCGCCGGCATGCCGACGGGTCGAGCAATTTGAAACTCGTCCCCTCCCCCCTCTGAAGAGAGAGTCCCTGGGAATCGGGGTTTTTTGGGGGTGTTTGGAGAATCTCAATGTCATAGCTGTATCAGGGGCACGGAAAGGCCCCAGAATGACAAAAAAATCGTAATCTTGGGTGTACGCTGCCTTCAAAGTGATTTCTTTGAGCGATGATCCAGTACGATATATCCAGTATATCTGGTATATCCAGTATGATCCAGTACACTCGCCGTCAGGAACAATAAAGTGGTATGACACAGCACCATGACAGCGAACGGAGTTTTCCAACACACTGTCTGCAACAATAAAGTAGTGTTACACAACACCATTGCAGCGAACGGAGTTCCAACACCATTGTCTGCAACAATGAAGTGGTGCTGCACAACACCATTGCAGCAAACGAAGTTTTACAACACCACTGTATGCAGCAATAAAGTGGTGTTGCACAACACCATTGTCTGCAACAATAAAGTAGTGTTACACAACACCATTGCAGCGAACGGAGTTCCAACACCACTGTATGCAGCAATAAAGTGGTATTGCACAACACCATTGTCTGCAACAATAAAGTGGTGTTACATAACACCATTGCAGCGAACGGAGTTCCAACACCACTGTCTGCAACAATGAAGTGCTGCTGCACAACACCATTGCAGCGAACGGAGTTTTCCAACACCATTGTTTGCAACAATAAAATGGTGTTGCACAAAAGCACTGCAGCGAGCGAAATTTTCCGCCACTGTCTGCAGCAATAAAGTGGTGTTGCACAACACCATTGCAGCGAACGGAGTTCCGACACCATTGTCTGCAACAATGAAGTGCTGCTGCACAACACCATTGCAGCAAACGAAGTTTTACAACACCACTGTATGCAGCAATAAAGTGGTGTTGCACAACACCATTGTCTGCAACAATAAAGTGGTGTTGCACAACACCATTGCAGCGAGCGAAATTTTCCGCCACCACTGTCTGCAGCAATAAAGTGGTGTTGCACAACACCATTGCAGCGAACGGAGTTTTCCAACACCATTGTTTGCAACAATAAAATGGTGTTGCACAAAAGCACTGCAGCGAGCGAAATTTTCCGCCACTGTCTGCAGCAATAAAGTGGTGTTGCACAACACCATTGCAGCGAACGGAGTTCCGACACCATTGTTTGCAACAATAAAGTGGTGTTGCACAACACCATTGCAGCGAGCGAAGTTTTCAATACCACAGTCTGCAGCAATAAAGTGGTGTTGCACAACACCATTGCAGCGAACGGAGTTTTCCAACACCATTGTTTGCAACAATAAAATGGTGTTGCACAAAAGCACTGCAGCGAGCGAAATTTTCCGCCACTGTCTGCAGCAATAAAGTGGTGTTGCACAACACCATTGCAGCGAACGGAGTTCCGACACCATTGTTTGCAACAATAAAGTGGTGTTGCACAACACCATTGCAGCGAGCGAAATTTTCCGCCACTGTCTGCAGCAATAAAGTGGTGTTGCACAGCACTATTGCAGCGAGCTGAGTTTTCCACCACCATTCGCGACACTTGCTCGCCGTCAGCAGTAAGGTGGTATTGCACAACATCTTTCACCAACACCCGCAGAACTGCGTTGCCGTCTGTACCGATAATTGTAGCTCCGCACTATGTGTAGGCATAACCTTGTTCATTAACAACCGCAACGTAACTATTTCTCTGCATCAGATGGATACTCATGTCTTTACAGCTGATTGCTCATCAACCCGCTATGAGTTATAGTAAAATATCTGTCTACACCAGGGAATGTTTTTGCAATGTACATTGTTGCGAATGAAGTTGCGCAACACCACCCGCAAAAACTGTGCTCGCCTCTGCAACAGAATTTTGGTGTTGCTCGGCACCTTTTGGAGAGAGCAAAGTTGCAAACATCCTTAGATCTGGTGCAAACACCGTCTGCTGCTAGGTTGCTGCCCACCTCCCCCAAAGATATTACTGAGTTCATGTTTCTAGCAAGAAAGTTGAGCTCTGTGTTTGCAACAAGAAAGATGTTGCTTTAAGGCAGCGTACACCGAAAATCTAAGTTGCCCAGTTCTCTATGGTTACATGTAGGGCCCAGAAGAAGAACTGCGTTGGTCCGGTCTCCCAATGTTGTTTCTAAGCGGAGACCAGCCTGATTCTCTTTGCGCTCCGCCCCTTTCTTTGAGGTCCGTATTCTTCGAACGAGTCCACGACAGCGTTAGCTGCAGTTGCAGCTGCAGTTGCAACTGCAGGCTGTCATGCAGTTGCAGCTGCACCTCGGCATGCCGAGAAGTCGAGCAATTCGAAACTTGTCCTCCCTCTGAAGAGAGGGTCCCCAGGAATCGGGGTTTTTGGGGGGGGGGGGTTTGGAGAATTTTAATGCCATAACTGTAATCAGGAGCACGGAAAGGCCCCAGAATGACAAAAATATCGAAGGCGAAATTTTAGTGCTGCCTTCAATAATATAACCAAACAGTATTCATATATAATGCCAAGTTCAACTGACGGTCGGATTTTGTCAAATATAGGCATTGCTCGGTGTTCCTTAATTTTTGATGAACACTTGTCGATATGATTTCGAGCTATAACCGACGCTAGCAACAAATCTTTATCAGCTCAGGTCGACGCTTCGGCGGTTGACGCCTTTTTCGAAGAAAGATAAAGTCGAAGTCGTAAGTAACTATACGTTTAGAAGTCGAGAATCAGCATAATCAGAGCCAAAATACTTTTGACAATTTCCTCTACAGATACTCTCTACAAATACAACTTGACACATACGTACATCTTGCTTTGCCACGCCGCCAGTGAACCTTGCGGTCCAAGTGTGTACTCAGGACGGGTTGCTTCACTTTTTTCTAACTTGACAAATATCATACAAACAAACACAGCATCCAGTCAACTGCGAATCCATATATAATTATATAATACATTTGAACATAAAACAAAGTATGATAATGAGATTTATAAATGACATCAACCTTACCTACAATCTTCATTCCTCTCCGCATTTCTATGAAAATGCATACCCGTGAGTCAGTTTATTCAGGACTTAGCAATGAACATTAGGTAAATCATAAGCTGCATTCAGCCGACACCTCGTGCCTAACATAGGTGCGATAGGGGGAGCCGTGCCCCCTCCAAGTGAAGCGGATCTCTGCTACTCCCATCCTTGTACGGTGAAGGGGATAAGTGAGCCCTGAAAGTAGAATGCCCCAACAAATTACATACCATACGAAAGCTGAGGTCATGTAGAATCGACATAGACCGTCGACTTTTTTCTAGATCTTCTATGCCGCGAGATTTGAGGCATTTTATGTACTTCATGTATCAACTGTTTTGTGCCCTCATTTTCTGCTCGCCAAATGAATGCTAAGAGAAAGTCGACAGTTTACGTTTGTTAACGCTATGCAAAACAGATAGACAACCAGCAGTGATTAGATCTTCGTTTGGCAGAAATCTGCTATTGAAAATGGACATAGTTTCGGATAAAATACGGTGTATCTCTCGGTAGAGGAGGGCCAGAAAGAAGTCGACGGTCTAAGTCGAATTCCCTTTTCCCGAGCTTTCGAATGGTGTATAGATTGCTGGGCAAAAAAACTTTCCAGATTTTAAAAATGGGGTGGAGATATTTACTATTAGCTTGCTCCGCCCAGCTCCTCCAATGTATTGGCTTTCATCGGTCACCGGAGCAAGTGCTTTTTAGAGCCGGGAAGCAAAAAAGCCCTAACATGCTGTACAACTTTCAAAGCTGAGATCATAGAGAATCGACATAGACCGTCTCTTTTTTCAAGCTTCTCTGTGAAGCGAGATACGAGCAATTTTATACGCCGACTCACCAGCCAATTTTCTGCAATTATTACCTTGTGCTTTATTTAAAAAAGAAGGATGAAGATAGAAAAAAAAACGGTCTACGCTTACTGGCAAGGTCTTGGTCTGTGATACTGTTAGACAATCAGGCACCTTCATTCATTCTTTACGCAGGAGCTTGACAAAAACACACATGTTTTTAGCAAAAATGTCATGTATCCCTAGTTAGAGGGGAGCTAGAGAAAAGGAGACGGTCTACTTCGAATCCCTTTTTCGTGGGCTTTCTGATGGTTAATAATGGCTGTTGGGTGAAAAAACTTGTGGCCTTCCAAAAATGAGGTGGAGATATTCAAAACTAACTTGCGCCACCCTGCTCCGGCTTTCTATGAATAGCCGAAGCAAGACTATTTTGGACAGGCGAAGCTTTGTGCACCAACACTTTATATACCTTTCGATAGCTAAGAACACGAGGAATCGATGTAGACCGTCTCTTTTTTCTAGCTTTTCTGTGAAGCAAGATACGAGCAGTTTTATCTAGTTACAATAGCAGCCAATTCTGGGCAGTTATCTTTTCAAACCAAAAAGTTTTTTTTCGAACTTTTATATATGATTCGAAAGTTTGAGGAATGGGTAATTTAACTGCTTTTTTATTTGTCATTATAATCTCTAGTGAAAGGAGATATGGTACAATTACTGTCAGCAAACCTGCATCAATCGCTAGCTAGTCCATACTTTCTACTCTTGCTCAACTCTTTCTTGCGACAGTGTGTATTCATTGATACAATGTTAATTATTCAATGAATCAGACATCCTTTTGATTTTTGATTACGTTTCGTTAGCAATGCCACTTTGAGTGCGCTGAAATTCTCAAGCATGCGTTTTTTTCTTCAACAAAACGCTGTTGCTTCGATACTCTCTTGCAGTCTTGATGTCTGAGGACAAGAGCATCTGCTTTTCCTTTTCAAACAGACAGTGCCGTTGTAACAGCTGTTTAATTCTGCCGTTATGCCTTGATTCTAGTCTCAACCTCAGGTGAAGGGGGTCAGCCGGATGCCGGTCCTAAAGTGAAGGGGTCCAGAGAAATTTCTCCACCTATCGCAACTATGGTGCCTAACGGACAGCCTTGTTGTGCTTGTGCTGTGCGTATACACTTGTGCTTGAGCAGCTCCGCATATTTCTGAGGTAACCCTTGCTTAGATAGTGTATCTTCCGGTTGCAATATTTACCAAATGAAAAAACAAATGAAACAAAAACAAACAGATGCTATGTACAGCGTTATAGCGTGGTGTTCAGACCGGTGCCAAGTTATGCTTATTTCAGTATCCTGCAGATCGCGATTAGAGTTCTATGTTGTTTGAATATCTTCTATCCAGTTCCCTTCCTTTTTTATTTCTAGTCTTTTTCTCCTTTTGTAATTCATGGGCGAATGCAGGAGTAGTAGTTGACTTGATTGAGCTTCCAAGTTGTAACACCTCTCTAGGCTAACGTTTCGGCGCTATCGCCTTCTTCATAGTCTGGAAGTCGAAACCATATGAACCTAGTCGCTCAGACGACAGCAAAAATGCGAAGTGTAACTTTGCTTTGTATGTCCTAACGGCTGTACATCCTGTAAAGTAATTCGCAGAATAGAGTTACGCTAGCTGCGTCTAACAGAATTCTTCTGCCTACACGCAAAAAGTTCCACCTACTCCGAGTTGAAAAACAGATTGTAAGTGCGTAATACCTCTTATTGGTGACTCTTTGTTTATTCAATGTTCTGATGGATGATTTTTTTTTTCAAGCAACCCTGCTTTGTATCTTATTGTTAGAATATTTTTCGGACATAATTTGAAAGCTATCATATGAAATTCATGGCAGATTTTGAACAGCTGAATGTAGTACGGTCGTAGCTGACAATTTCGGATATCCGCAAATGACAGTATTCAGTTTTGAAGTAGAACCCAATATTATCCACTTATCTTTCTTTTTACAATAATTGAAAGTGAGATATAAACCAAGTCAGAAACAATTGACTGTCAACAAAAGATAAACAACGACTGCAGCTCTCTAGAGCACCAGAAACATTTTTCAGGAATTCAGTAACTTATGCACTGAAAAAACAAATGCCCATTAGTACATTTCTCTCGCTTAGTCGGACTTGCGAAGAAGCAACTTTTGCACACCTAGAGAGAGTCGTGTGTTAAGTTGCAGAATATTTGCATCACATTTTATTAGACAAAGGCAACACAGAGAATGGCAGGGCCCGCATGTACACTATATTTGAGACGATAGAAAGACCCACAAGGTTGCACCGCGATAAGTACCACCGGTGATACCCGAATAGACATGGAATAAAAACAACTTTGGAGACTAGAATTCAACCTGCACGACTACTTCTTGGCATGCAACATTGGGGCAGATACGCGACAGCCAGTTGGAATGTTCATCCATGATTTATCGCTGGAGGTAAGCGCTCGGATCAGCTCACGCTCCAATGGCTCATTGTTTTTCATACGCTGGAAAGAAGAAAATGAAAAAATTACACCTATTTTGATAGAAACACAAAAATAACTGTAATAGAAGAGAAACTAAATAACCAACCAAGAACAAATCGATCGCCAATTTTCCGGCTTTTCCCTTCTTGCTGGAGCCAGGCGTAAGCTTCACTTTGTACTTGAAATTTTGGAATACCTAAAGTTTTTGAGCGGTTCATGATTGATCAAGGTAAGTGATGAAAAATTTACTACTAACAACTGAAATCGTACCTGGTAAGGTCCAACCATAGTCACGGCATAGAGCAACACATCGTCAGGCTCAGGATTTGAAATTAGTTGTGACACCAGCGCTATAACACCCGTGAAGCATGTGGAAATATTAAAATACTGACGAAAAACGTCAAACTGACAATGAGTAGCACTGAGTCATCATACCTTCGGTACCCTCGCTGGTAGTTTTGAGATCCTCCTCCTCATCGTCATTTTCAGCTCCTTTACCGTCCTCGGTATCATCAACGGCGACTTCAATTTTTGGCCGACTCGAAGGCTGCTAAAAACTGGCAGATATCGATTAAGATCAAGCAAACGAAAAGAAACACAAACCTGCTCCGCGGCAGAGCCTGCGGCATTTGGCACATCTTGGACCTCATCTTTTTCCTGTGCACTCTCACCATTGATGACACCATCCTCGATCTTGGTGGTTTCGTGAGCTTCATCACCATTCTTGTCACTGCCATTACGATTCTTTTCACAGACTTCCAAATCAGGCGCATTTTCTTTATCCGTAGATCGCATATCCTCAAGCTCAGGTTTCTGCAGTTGCTGGCGCGCTCCTTTAGCTTCACCCTTCTAAAAAGAAATTACAGCACCTATTGTTCAAAGCGTCTCACATTTAAACCAACATTATTCGTTGAAGGATGTTTATCGCTCCCTACTTCCTTACCATTCATTCCCTTCCCGTCGTCACTTTTCTGTTTGCCTGAATTGACCATAAATTGAGGTATACAAAATGAAGCCATTTGAAGAGCACGCACCTCTACAACCCAACAAGGTCAAACGCATTTCACGCTCCTCCTCGTCCTGATCCTTATATTTCTTACGAATTTTTTCCAACTTATGCTTCTGGCGCTTTCCCACCTTCTTTGCAGCAGCCGCCTGAAAAAAAAAACGCTGATGAGGAAGATGATACTTGCCCACACAGACCTTGCGCTCTTCTTCAGCCTTCTTTTCAAGATACTCCTTAGTTTCAAGCTCTTTCTTAGGCACATTCGCTTTCTTCGCTCGCGTTTTGTTGGCAAACTCGATGACGGAATACTCATCAGGATTCTCCTCCTCAACTTGTAGCCGAACAGTTGGCACATCAAGCTGCAATATATTTGTGAGTAAAAATAAATAGTTAGATGACAATGGTGTTCTTACACTGATGTCCGGATACTCCTCTTCTCCATTTGAATCACCCTCGCCATTGTCATTAGTAGGTGGATTCGCTGTGTATTCCTCCAAAGTACTTTCGTCGTTGTCAGTAGGTGCCTGGGCAGTGTACTCTTTAGGTTCCATCTCAGATAAGTTCTGCGCCTGTTCCTAAATTATGAAGAGAACATTAAATTTGATTTTGCTTCCTGTTTTCTAGATGAGATCACCACTAAGATTACAACAAGACAGAAATTACTTCTTCGCTGCTACATAGCTGATGTAAAAGTGTGCAATGAAATGAAGATACCACTGGGCAAATGAAAAAATGTACCTGTGACTGCTTCCGATGTTTTTCTGCGCTAATTTCGTCCACACGGAACAAAATACCGAAACCAAGCACTAATGGACAACTCGGGAGATAATTCTTTTTTCCTCTGATGATGAAGCTACCCTTAGTGACGTATTCTCCTGGCTGAGCAGCTTTTGACACCTGAAAGTATACCGAAATCAAGAATGCTGCAAATAATATAAGAATGAACATACCTGTGACGCATACACCCACCAAGCAGACGACGCAATATGTGATCCCCAGGCCTTGGTGATGCATGTTGCCATCTGCGCTGCTTCTGTTAACGTCTTCGGTGGGATTTCTCCTCCTCCTGGCTTATTGCTGGAAATTTCATAGATTGAGCGGAACAAAATAATCACAGAAAACTACGATAATTCTAACAGAAAATCACGAGACGGAAGCTAAACAAACCGTATCACAACTGATGCTGCGCCATGGGCATCGGCGTGGACGTAAATATCCTCCGGCCGAAGATACCTAGAAACAAGCGAGTTCAATACATAAACTGCCGTTCACACACAGGCAGAATTTACAAATAAATATCAAGGTATCATGAAGGTATCCCTTTCTGAACATCACAGAGAAAAGTGTAGCGAGAAAATCCTACATACTTCTTGACAAGCAATTCATTCTGCGTAGCATCACGTCCGGTTAGGACCACGTACTTTTCCGAGGATATGAACCAGATAAACTTCTCAAACCACATTTCCTTCCGAGTCTTCACAGAGCTCACATTGATGTTAACCTAAAATGTGGGAAACAGTGCAATAAAGGAAATCTTCTCGATTTACTTTCTTGATGGTAGTGGTTGCTTTGTCCTCCGCATTTCGAATAGCCTTCTTCGCCGCTACTTCAGTTCTAAGGGCCTGAAACAAACCTATGACAGAAATTACCTATACAAGCATAGACTAACCTTTTCTGCAGCTGCTTTCATGCCGTGATAGAATTTACATGCATTGCCAAATGCATTCGTATCAATACTGATAGGTACATCTTTCCTAAACTCATTCATCTTTCAAATGAAGCTATGGTATAGTAAACCTACGGTGGAATATCCTCGTATTCTTCTTTCAAACGCATTATAATTCTATTATTCTGCAAATCAAGCTTGGTAATAGCACTGAAATCAAACGGAATAATCCAAAAGAAGATATGACAAAGTATATTCTAAACCAATCAAATAAGACTTCGATATCCTATGGCAAAGGAAAAAAAGAAGTAGCTGATAAAATAAAAACTGAACCTCGCTACTGCATCTCCTTTCTCAACTGCATCTTGGTGCATTCTTTCCACATCCTCCCAACTAGTCTTTCGTGCCAGAGCACTGCAAATGACTTGTATAGCAGCGTCCACGATGGCCTGAAGGAAGCAATATTTGATATAAAGAGATGATTGAAAAAAAATAGTTTTGTATTTATGATCCAGTCGTACCAAACTGAAGAGGTACTTTAATTCGCTGAAAATAAACAAAAAACTGCAAAGTACATAAAATGTGAGAAAAATTGTGGACAGCCATAAATTTGATGAGTGATACATGAAAGCAGATCGCTTCGGACCGAGATAAGCTTGGACAAATTATGCAATCAGAGCGAAAAATTTTTTCGCATACCTTGTTGTGAATGATGAGGTCAGCCATAACCATCTTTTCTTCCCGGCTATACTCAAGCTCCAAGATGCGACGTTCCTGATCCTTCTTGACATTTTCAAGTTTCTTGATGGCTTCTTTCTCAACCTTGAGAGCATTTTGCTGCTGCAACGCATGTACTTTTGTTTAGAGAGCCAAAGAAAAAGCAAAAGATTACCTGCTTCTGTGATTCTAGCGTGGCATAATAAGTGTCGACTGCCTCACAGAAAGTGCCAAAAGCGCGGTAAGTACCCTTTTCGAGCTGGCGAAAAAGATATGGATGGTATTCCTGAAATAAAGCAGAGGATAAGGGAAGAAAGCAAGATGACTAAATCGGAAAAGATTTACAGTTAACTGAGCAGACTCACAAGCAGAATTTCCACCTCCGTATTGTCCATGCGCTTCTGGGTTTCATAAGGTACGTACCCTGCACTTCGCCCATTCTTTATTTCTGAGGCAATTTCCATTGCCAGATTCAAAGACTTTACAACTACAGAAGCGCATTCGTTCTTGTCTTCTATAGAAGAGACCTAGAATATAGGATGCATCGTTATGGAGTTTTTTGAGGAGAAAAAGCAAAGTAAGCGAGTTAGTACGGTTGAACAAAGAAAGAAAATGCATACCTGAGCGTTTGGGTCCTGACCGCACACCAACAAAGCATGTTCAATGAGAGCACCAGTAAACAGTCCAGGGACGAGAATTGAACGCTTCAATGGTGACTTTTGATCGCAAGTGCTAAAACAAATTTCGAAGTCACGGAGATTGTTTGTTTAGAAAAATACTTACTTCAGAAGCTCTGCTAACTGCTCAGCTGTAGGCAACTCAGGAAGATCTTTCTCTGGAGCGATCGGATATCTGAAAAGAGCCAATTGCAAATTTACGCAATAGCTTACAAAGATTTCAGAAGTACATTTGGTTGACGGCAAACTTCACATCCTTATCTTTATCTGTACGAGGACGTAGCACATTCAGAATGGTGTAATTCGAATCGGTGAGGACGATGTTACCCCTGACATGGATAGAATATTCCATGCATTCGTGCCAAAACTGATGAATCAAACTAACTTGTCGTACAACTCGACGATAACATGCACAGCTCGTTCACCTTCGTCGATTTGCATGTCTACAATACGATCCATGGAAATCTGCCTGACTTTAGTCAGTCTAAAAGTGTGCAAAATGGAAAAGATCTGACATGACTGGTTTAGAAAAGGCTTGTTAAAAAAATATACGACTTACCTGCGATTATTCAGATGTTTACGAAGTTTCACGCTGAAATTTGAAGGAAATGGCGCTTTATCACAGTCATGGTATGAGCGATGAATGCGTATTCCAGATTCGAATAAAATCAGAGATTTTTCCGGGCCACTTAAATGCTGATTTGAAAGAGTTAAATATTACAAACATTTAAATTCTCACCTGGACAACTTCATAATATATGTTTTGTGATTAATATCGTAGACGTTTACGATGCGGTTTCCCTCCAAAGCCTTCAGGTCATTCACAGCGGCTGTGACATCAATTGTTGAGAAGCGTGTCTTCATGACTGGAAGCTATTGCCTAAAAAATCACTCAAAGTACAAATGAATATCAGGGTATACGCGAACAGGAACATGATACAAGAATAGTACGCAAATCAGCTGCAATTCTTCAGATATGTGAAGTACCCCAACTTGAAGTACGAAAAAATGCACACTTAGTCACCAAAAACTCTTGTAAAGCTTCAAAGAAAGACGAATAAGGTGAAAACAAAAAGTGATAGAGCCAGCCCCTTGCAAATATCATGCTCGAATCGTTGCAAATTTTTGCCGCTACCCGAAGCGGTCCGCGGGGCCCCGTGATTAGAGCATTTTACCCTCCAAGCAAGAATTATTCCAAGTTTTAGCTGGTTTTTTTAATGATAAGTGGAGAAGTAGTTTGGGGTTCATTCGGCTTATTTTACGTACAAAAAATAAGCATCCTCGCAGTAAAATAGAAACGAGATGCCATGATACCCAAACCAGGAGACTAAAGTACTGGAAGCGGGGGTGCGCAACACGTTGAAACTTGTAATCATTGTGGATGGCTTGCTTCGAAATGAAAGAAACCTAAGTCTGCCAGTAAAGTCCTACCCAGCATTTTGTATCCTTCAAATAGAATTCTATCTCGACAGTAACACTTCTAGCAAATAAATTATTAACGTGAAAGGGACTCTTTTGGCAAAGATCTGAACGCCCTCATGTGAGTTGCGATCGCGGGAAGCTAGTGGTTGAGTCTCTGCAGCCTTTACGTTTTTGCCTTGCATATCAATTCTTAAAGCCATCCACTCAAAACAGTTCACAAATCAGACAAGCATGCATACCTAGCACTGCATTGATCCTCGATGTATAAATAATTATTCTTTCTTTTGATTGTTCTTGAACTTACGTCAAAGATGTCGGGAAGTAAAGAAAGATTGTTGACCCACTGAGTACAATATATAATAATTCAGAAGCAGTACGGTAGAGGAACATGTATAGGACTGCAAGTTTATATACTATTGGGTTATAACATGAGTTTTGTTACCATTTCATTTTTACCGCGGTAAGTCACGCACCTGTTTTTGATCAGGTTTCAGTAATACTCGATAGAGCAAAGCAAGCTCCATAATATGACACCACGATTCCCTCATTTCTCTCACGCATTTACATACCACATCAGACATGCATATATCGGTGGTGATTTTTTGCTTGAGCTAAAGATCGAGACGGGTTTCATGTTCTCAAATCGAAATAGTTGGGCTGCTCTTACCAAGTTCTGTATACTAAAAACCTTTAGATGTAATACCAACGTGAATCCTGAGTATCTAATGTGGAACGTGCATGCGTGAGCAAGTGAGAGAGGGGTAGAAAATGGTGTTTTTCACTTTAAGAAATCCTATGTATTTTCGTTGAATTAGATTTTCATTCAGTTCAGAAAAAAACCGTAGGAAAAACTGATTTGAGAAATGAAAAACTCATGTTCATCTTCATTGGCAGTCAATACGGACTCCTCTGTTATGCTTTCACAGACTACTTCGTTCCAGTTAGGGAAAGAGTTTGCACTAGCGAACGCCGGCCCAGTCTTCACTTAAGCTGCCGCTGAAACGGGAAAACTCAGGTCAGAATTTTATGTCTTGAAATATTGGGCTATTTTACATATTTCTTTGTACTATTATTAATAATGTGTTAAGGCACAAGCTACTATTCCATAAAGCAGGCGAGCTCTTCTATATCGTCCCCAAACTCTTGCCAAATGTTTGTTCCATGAAGTTTGAAGCGGAAACTAATATTTCATATCTCACAAAAATACATCATTCAAATCGATCAATATTAATCTTCATTATTCCTAATTTTTTGAAATCATATGCTTACCTATCCTCGAAGGTACACTTTATCTGTTTGCAGTAAATTTGCTAGATTTGATTCACAAATTTAGATATTTTGGGAATAAAAATGGACGGCCAATCAATAACTTACGATCATTCTGATACTACAAGCCATAATTTCTTTCTATTCTATAATAAATAGGTTTTACAACACCGTTTTATAGCAGAATAAACTGTACAAGATGAAGTTCAAAAACATGAACCAATTCTGTTCCAAGCGAAACTAGCTGCCAAAACCTAAAAAGATAAAAAAGTGAAGCCCAAAAGTGAAAAGCGGGAAACGCTTCATGGAACAGTAGCTTGTACCCTAACTTATTAGTCAGATTAATACAAAGAGATGTATGAAATAGCCTACCTTTCAGCACATAAAATTTTGATCTGAGCTTTTTATGTGAATGCTGGCCGGCACTCGCGAATTTCTTCCCCAAAAGGAGATAGTCTGTGAAAGCGCAACCTTAGGAGTCCGTATTGACTGCCAGTCAAGATGAACATATTTGAGTTTTTCATTTCTCATATCAGTTTCTCCTACGGTTTTTTTTTCTGAACTAAACGAAAATCTAATCAAACGAAAATACATAGGGTTTCTTAAAAAATGCGCCCAAGCTTGATTGTTAATAATTCTCTTGTCATGAAGTCTTTCGAGGAGTTTCAGGTGCCGTTTGGTGAAGCTGGCTTCAACTTAGCTTCTTACCTTGGAGCGAATTACCAATCTCTCTTTATTAATGTAAGATTACGGTAGGAACTCGCAGCTTTGGCGCCATTATGACTGCCGTTTGGGAAAATTCTTTTAAAAAATCTGTTCATGCATGCGGCATGCCGATTACATTACACAACGTCTTACAATTCGTAGAGCTTTCTAAAATGGCGTAATCAAATACAAATATCCGAAATCGGTTGTGAAGGTATACCTGGCATAGCTTATGAGAAGAGCGTCATGGTAAAGTGCAAGTCTCGCTTTAAAATCAGCAGTCTGATTGATCTAGTGTAGGGGGTTTTAGTTTCTTTGGTTCATTTTGAGGGCAAAATATGACCCTCACTGACTAAAAACCCTCGTGAAGCCCTACCTTAATCTTGCAGTAAAGAAAAGAGATCCTTAATCTGCTCCATGCTGTAAAATCAATTTGAAGCGAACTCTACAAAAAAAAACTAAAACTCCTCAAAAGATTTCATGGCAAGAGAGTTACTAACAATCCAGTAAGCACTTTTTTGGGACATCCTGTGGGTTTTTTAAAATTTTTTAAGCACCCAGAACTGTTTGTATTCTGTCTTCAACTTGAAGTTGTATAAAAGTTTATGAAAATTGTAGGGCTTGCTTTGCTTATCAAATGGAATTCTGCAACCTGATAAAAATCAGAAGCTCAGGACTTACTGCTGTAAAAATTTTCGAGTCGCACGCATATTAGCGCCGAAATTGTTTGGGCATACTTAGCGAGGTTGTTGAATCCGTTTCAATTGGTATGGCTAAACATGGTAGAATATACAACAGACTATGGCATAACTTTTGTTATTGTTTATATGATTTATCTTTATAGTCACCGAAATGGTGCTGATCGGACTCTCTATGAAAAGCTGTATTTTCGGAATTCTTTGATTTTTGGTTTTCTTCTGAACAATTACCACATTTGTTGTTCCTCTAGGCATTCCTTTTTCAACAAAGTTCCAAAGGATTTTCGGTGCAAGACTAATCTTCCAACTCAACACAGCCGATGTTAAATAATCCTAAGCTAGATTTCTTTTAAATAAGTTGTCATCATGATTCGCCTTGAAGACTCGGGAACGCTATGCAGTGTACAAAATTTTGTGGCATGTGGTTTTGGATGTTTTGTTGGTTGAAATAATAGGAAAAGCTCCGCATGAGATGGGATGAAGAATTTTCTTTGGCACTTTTCGTTCGGATCCATTTTTTCAAAGAAGGTTTTTGCTTCTTTTCTTGTTCCATATTCGGCCCCAACTTGATAGAAAAGAGTACCAACCTTCTGACATATGTCAATAAATTCTGACAAGTTATCTACACGTTCAGCTGGTTTTAGTAAGAGTGTGTGTTGCTCTACCTAGAGACGTAAGCTCAATCTGTTTTTTAGTCAATAGTGGCCCCATTTTTGATTAAATTATATTGAAAATAGACAAAATAGACATTGTTATAGTAATGACGTCATCCTGTTATCAATGAACAGATTAGAATTGTCCAGAATAGAGAAGTGCGTTAGAGTCCCATCATCTAAGTGACGAAACAAGCAGCAGCGAAGCCACTGCATGGCGGAAGGAGTTGAAGAGAAAGGCATTTCTAAGTCACTGCTGAAAGCAACCAAGCTGCTCTAATAAAAGGTCTAGTTTGTTTTGTTCTTATAGAAGAAGAACAGCTTTTAGGTGATCACAGACGTTCTTTTACATCACGGATGATTTCGTAAAACATCAAGTCAAAATGGACCAAAACGTGCCAATTTTCTCCTGACATGAGGCAGTTACCCATTTGTTATTGATAACGAAGCATGATAAAGGTGGCGTTCTCCATAGTCTATTTTTCAAAAAATGTGAGCGGTATTGTAAGCTATTCATTCAAATAAGTTGAATCATGATTTGCCTTGAACACTCGAGAACGCTATACAGTGTAATAGAGAAGCTAAAATCTTGTGGCATGTGGTTCTAGTTTCGTTAATTCAGATAAGAGGAAAAGCTCAGCTTGATATGGGATGAAAAGCTCAGGATGTTGAACAATTCTGGATAATTTTCTTCTTGCCCAACATCTAATACAATCCATTTTCACCGTAATCATGCTCCTCTAGCTCATAAGCAGTTATGCCGGTGTAGACTCCCTGGTACTTCTCCGTTATCCGCCATTTTTTCTTGAAGAAAAATATTGCTTCTATCCTTCATCCATATTTGGCCGCAGCTTCACGGCAAGCAGTATCAACCTTCTGACACATTTCAAAAAAAGTTTGACATGTCACCTACAAGTTAAACAGGCTTCACCATGTATTTGTTCTACCCTACCTAGCGACGTAAGGTCATTCTGTTCTTCAGTCAATTTCGATCTCGTTTCGATCAAACAATTCAAAATGGACATTGTCGTAATATTAACAACATGCTATTATTAAGGAACAGAATATACCTGCTTAGAATAGAGAATTGCGCTAAGAGTCCGTCATTTTAAAAGGCAATTAAGCAGCAGCAAGGTTATTTAAGCCATTATTTATATCTGAAGGCAATCAACAACCCAAACTTGGGTAATAAAACTATTAAAATCAGTACCGCGGCAGTCACTGTGACGTCAGGACCTCAACGGGTTATTCAGACTGCTGCACTGACCGCAGCAGATTGCAGCAGCGATTTATTGTTATTGATGTTTGATGGAATTTTGATGTGGAATGTGCATGCGTGAGGGAGTAAGATATCCGTAGATTTTGGACGGAGTTCTGATTTCTTCACAGACTTCTGGGCTTTGTATCTTTAGGTTTAGGCTTTGAATTTCGCTTGGAACAAAATTCGTGCAACTTCTCAAACAATCTGGTAGGAGTAATTTTGCTACGGAATGGTACTGCAAAACCTATTTAGAATATAAGAAAATTATAGCTACTGCAGTAAGATTGATCCTAAGTTATTCATTGGCCGTCAATTTTTCCACAAAATATTAATTTGTGAGTGTGGAAAGGTAAATGTAGCAATTTATTGCAAACAGATAAGCGTATCTTCAGGGATATGGGCATTGAATGTGGGGATAATAATGAATAATAGTTACCGATTTAAGTGATCCGATTTTCTTTGAGTTATTATTATGGAATTAGTTTCTCGCTTCAAACTTCATGAAACAAGGTTTTGGCAAAAGTTTGGGGAACATATAGAAGAGCTCGCTTGCTTTATGGGATAGTAGCTTGTACCAGTGGCGTACCCAAGATTTCGGGTCGGTGTGGGAAGGGGGGGGGGGGCGACAAAACAAATTTTCCGTGAAAGGTGCGTGGCGTCAGCCACGCACTCCGAAAATTTTTTTGGCATGCTCCCTAAATTTTCGCGGGCTCAGAACCCCGAAATCACGCCCCCGAAAAAAAATTTTTTATAAGGCTAAAATAAATTTTTTAAAAATTTTAAAAATTATTTTAATTATTTACAAGTGCAGAGAAATTATTTGCAAAATTTTATAACTCATGGAAGTAACTTTCAAAAATTTCGCGACCCTCCTCGGGGTGGGGGGGGGGCGCCTCCCTTCCCCTCCCCCCCGCCCACCCTCGGTACGTCACTGGCTTGTACCCTAACACATTATTAATATTAATATTAAGAAATATAGGAAATAGCCTATTATTTCAAGACTTAGAATTCTGACCTGAGTTTTCCCGTTTCAGCGGCAGCTTAAGTGAAGGCTGGCCGGCGGTCGCTAGTGCGAACTCTTTCCCTAATAGGAACAAAGTAGTATGCAGAAGCACAACTAGGAGCCCGTAATAACTGCCATTGAAGATGAGCATATTTGAGTTTTTCATTTCTCATATCAGTTTTTCGTACGGTTTTTTTAATTGAACGAAAATCTAATTCAATGAAAATACATAAGGTTTCTTAAAAAATCCGCCCTTGCTTAATTGTGTTTAGTTCTCCTGCCATTCTTTTGAGAAGTTTAAGGTACCGTTTTGTGGAGCTGGCTTCAACTTAGCTTCATAGTTTGGAGCGAATTACCAATAATATTGATATTGCTGAAATGCTAAAATATACAGCAGACTTTGATTTAACTTTTGTTATTGGTTTTATGATTTATCTTTGTAGTCATCGAGAATAGGTGCTGATCGGAACTCTCTATGAAAAGCCGTAAATTTCGGAATTCTTTGATTTTTTGTTTTCTTGTGATCAATTACCAAATTTGTTGTTCCTCCAGGCATTCCTTTTTCAACAAAGTTTCGAAAGATTTTCGGTGCAAGACTAATCTTAACTTAGCACAGCCGATGTTATTCGATCCTAAGCTAGATTTCATACAAAAAAGTTGACATCATGATTTGCCTTGAAGACTCGAGAATTTTATGCAGTGTATTTGAAAGCTAGATTCTTGGCACGTTGTGAATGATTTTTCAGTTGAAATAAGAGGAAAAGGTCGGCTTGAAATTCAATCAAATGCTCAGGCATGTTGAACAATTTTCGATAATTTTCTTCTTGCCCAGTATCTCAAAAAACCAATTTTAATTCCAACCAACCGTAATCATGCTCCTCCAGCTCAGACGCAGTTATGCTGGTTTAGATTTCCTGGTACTTTTCCGTTATCCGGACCCATTTTTTCAAAGGTGAATTTTGCTACTACCTTTGACCATATTTGGTCCAGCTTCACACCAAGGAGTGTCAACCTTCTGCCACAACTCAAAAAAAAAACTGACATGTCATCTACAAGTTAAACAGGTTTCACCAAGAATTTGTCCTACCCTACCTAGCGAAGTAAGGTCAATCTGATTTCAGTCAATTTTGATCTCATTTCGATCAAACAATCTTAAATGAACATATTCGTAATAATAACAACATACTATTATCGAGAACAGATTAGACTTGCTTGGAATAGAGAAGCGCGCTAGGATTCCGTCATTTGAGAGGCGAAATCAGCCAGCAAGGCTTCTGAACATCATTTATGGTCTTTTCTGGCTAAATTCGCATGGCCAAAGGGTTTGAAGAGAAGGACATTTCTGAATCGCTTCTGAAGGTCAAGATGTTCTAAAATGAGTTCAAGATTGCTTTGCTTTCATAGAAAACAGTTAAAGAGCTTTTAGCTTATCACATATTCTCTTTTACCTCACCGGAAATAATATCGAAAAAAAAACATGTCAGAAGGACCAGAACGTGTCAATTTTTTGTGGCACGTGGCGAAGAGGCAGTCCTCGTAGAATCTATGAAAAATTATTTCTAAATTAAAGAACGTATAAATATCCAACTGATTTGAACAGAAATCCAAGACAGTTTCATTGGGAAGTACTGGGGGCAAGTTCCCAGAAGTATGCTTCATAAGTCATGCAAGTAACTTGTTTATATGTAATGACTGTATTTTCTAAACTTCATAAAAATTTCGATTAGCTTGTGATCAAGGGTTTTTGAAGGGTTTGTTTTTAGATATAGTGCGCCAGAATCACTGTGTATACATAAAAAATACGAAAAGTTTACTAATCGTAGCATAACGGACCAATCCCCAGCTCTTTATGAAGCTCTGTATAATACAAATAAAGAATAGAAATTACGAAGTTTGCTATCAGTGCACTTTTAGATTTGGAATGGTCGAAAAAATGCTAGAAACCGCTTTTGATTTGAGCACTTCCTTCTACACCTTAATAAGTCAATAAAATGACAAACTTATTTTCATAGATTCGAATTTTCTCTAGAGTGACTCAATGTTTCATTTGTTAGAAGGATGACATTTTTTCGATGATTACGAAAATGTAATGATGGTTTGTAATTTTTGTCTTGAAATTAGTAATTTTTCTACTGTTCTGGTTTGGATCACTTGTTTGAAGCTAGCTACTACAATATCGGTGACAAGAACACCAAAGTTGTGCAAGAACATTGAGCTTTCAGTCAATGTTGCGTTCAGTAATTTCAGCAATTTTCTTAGCTGGCTGCACTAGTGAGACATCAAACTGCCAAGTTCATCTGCATTGAATCTCATAGCAAGACGATTCCAATCATTCTGTTGCTAAACAACAAATACAAGACACCTCGGTAATCAGTTCTCAAATTTCCAGACCAGTAGCATGGCCTAGGCGTGCCACAAGAACATAAAACTTTCAAGCTCTTGTTCCAGAGGGTTTGTATTTAACCTGTTCTGATGTTTATAGCCGAACACTTCTGCCACACCTGTACTTTCATTTCAAAAGTAACTTCTTTTTGTGATAACACTTGGATTCTCACAAATATCTTTGAACTGTTTACGATTTGTCCTCAAAACATTCCAATGATTCTTCAATTCAATCAACAAAACTGCTTTAACTCAAAAATGCGAGCCCACTCCTTTCAGCAGTCACACCATACAACTGTCATAAATACCCAATTTTTTACTAACTCACCAACAAACTTGTGTCTAAGCCAAATAATATGACACTCAAATTGAACATCGTGATATCAGCGAACTAAGCTACAATAAATCTTTAAACATTATATTCATTACTCTGTGCTAAAAATAGAACAAAGTTCAAAACAGGCTATTTAGGTACTCCATCTTACGCATTACCTGTAGAAAACATAAGTGTAGCTTGAAAGAGTGCACATAGGGAACAAAAACTTATTTATAGAACACAAACATAACAACAACGTTTACGCCTCAATCTTCTTGGCGTGCTTCTTCGTTTTGGGCTGCTGAGAACGAACAATAGCGGCTGCACGCCTCTGAGCGAGCTGCAAAGAACAATTTGAGACAAGATCGAAAACAGCAGAAGCAAGTTTACCTTGTAATATGGTGTGAGACCCTGGCTTTTAGCGATAGCCTTCACGGACCTCAACATTTTGTCACGGTTGCGAAGTGAGACAGTGCTGATACTCTTAGCTGGGCGTCCAGCCTTACCTTAAATGTGGGAGTAGCGAGATCTCATTGTCAGAATAGAATATTTTGAACAGATGCAGCCATAATCTCTAGTGCATACAATTAGATAAGAAAATTCTTGCATGGACCGCACCCTATGTTTGCTAGATTTATGAAAAAAAATTTCCTAAATAAGTACATTAGAAGCGTTCAAAACAGAGACCGTAAAGACAGATTTGCAAAAAAATCGAGACTTTTCAGAATGAAGCGATGTGCATTATGAACAATCTTCAGAAAGCGAGATAATATAATAGAATCTAAAATAACCTTTCGTCTATAATGCTAAATCTTCTAAGCCCAAATCATCGAAACTTAGTATAGAAGCATGTGAGTCATGTATTATTTTACATCTACAATACAAAACACTGTTATACGTGAATGTTAAAAAATTATTCGCTGGAGCTTTGCGTGGGGGGGGGGGGTCTCAACAACGACAGTTATGACTTCTTTTAGGGTTGGGCCAGACTGCGCGGCGTACGCGACGTACGCAGCGTACGCCGCGTATGCTCCTATGATGAAATATACCGAGCGTACGCTGCGTACGCCGCGTACGCCGCTTCCCCGCGAAGTATGGCTCAACCCTTATGTTGTAAGATTCTTCTTGCGATACTGCGGTTATTAGGTGTACAAAGATGAAACTTTAGGTAGTGATCAAAGTTCTGCTCAATCGTATCAAACGTCATACATTAATTACGGATCATTTGCTCTCTAAGGGCCGCATGCACTAACCTCCCAGCTGGGGAGGGGATCGCAGCTTAAAAGAAAGCTTTATATTTCGAAACTCCAGATACCTGGACTTCACGTTGTGTACCTATCCGTAAGTATTCCTAAAACCCTTCACTATGAACATGTTGAACAGGAGCGAGAAGCTGTACGAACCGCATTTTCCAGCTTTTGTATGATCCCTGATGATCCCCGGCGCTTTTCTTTAAAGTCATTTTTATCTCTCCGAAGTTAACGAAAACCTTTTAAAGTTGTACTGAACATCTAACACAACAGTGCTGAGCATGTTGATGAGAATAAATGAGTTTTTGAAAAGTCGAATTTTTCGGTAAACCTCAAATTTCGACCTGTGGATCATCGAAAATTTCATGTTCAAAACATCATTTGTTCTTATCAGCAACATGCTTAGCACTGTCGGGTTAGATAATCTGCACAACTTTGGAGGTTTTTCGTTAACTTCGGAGAAAGAAAAACGACTTTAAAGAAAAGCGCCGGGGATCATCAGGGATCATACAAAAGCTGGAAAATGCGGTTCGTACAGCTTCTCGCTCCTGTTCAACATGTTCACAGTGAAGGATAGTAGGAATACTTACGGATAGGTACACAACGTGAAGTCCAGGTATCTGGAGTTTCGAAATATAAAGCTTTCTTTTAAGCTGCGATCCCCTCCCCTCGGGGGTGTTAGTGCATGCGGCCCTAAGTCAACTCCATGAATTTAAATTTCAGACTACGTATATTGAGATAGAGTATAAACTTCGAGTACACCAACAACTGAGGAAAAGAAAGAATGTAGCAAATTCACGGAATTGATAAACACTTTTATAAGACCTGGCACTGTCTCAAAGACGAACGAAATACAAATAGAAGAAAAAGCCAGTTTACCTGGAACCTTCAATGAGATGACGACTCCCTTTCCATCTTTGGCAGGAGCGATATCCATAGCCTTCTTGCTAATCAGGCCATTGAAACGTTTACTGTTCAGGCCACGGAGGTTAAACGGCTCAACAGAGAAGTGTTTTTGAATTCCTTTTTGGCGGCGGAGGAAGCAGCTATTATTGCGGATGATCTGCCACGTAAGATCGGCGGACATTATTACCTAAATATAATGATAAATGATTTTTACAAAGTAGAAAATTGCACAGCAAAAAGAGTGCAGCGAGTAAGATAAGCGAATTTTATGTAAAGTAAGCATAATTGTCAATGGGAATAGCAGCAAGGAGGCTCTACTTTCAAAATATCTAGGTAGTATTAGACTTCTCACATCTATATACTTTCTATAAACTTCGTTCGCTTGTCTTGATACCCATTCTTCCTACACATTCAAAGGGTTTGGGATTTGAAAGGGTGAAAACAGAATGCTGAAAAATCTTCTGAAACCAAAAGTCATTGAATACATCATAGGTTGAGAATACTATGATCACTTCTTACACAATCTATTATCAAACTAGCAAGGGAACACGGGTTTTTCGGTTCCTGACATGTCCACTAGCAGTTAGTGCCTAGAGATCTGAGACTTTTGAAGCTCATGTACGGGAGATATCGAGGAATTTTAAGTGACTTCTAGGAAATTTTCGCATTAGGAGAGAAGTTTGTAAGGTTAGACAGAACCTGGATAACAAAAAATTCAAGCTCTATAAAACATCGATCAAATAAAGACGGAACAAAGAAATCTTGCGATAAACTTTGATAATGCCTCGTGTGAGCTCACAGGTTAAGAGACATCGTTGAGATTAGAATAAGTAGCTAGAAAAATGAAAACTTATATCTTATAAACCTTTTCTTTAGCTTTTCAGATGAAGCTTCATCTGCGTGTGATCTATTAAGCAATTTTTCAAGGATTACAAGTGAAAGAAGTAAAACTTGATTACGTAAGCCTAACAGAGGTATTAGGCAAGATCAAGTCATGAGAACTATATTAAAATCAGTACTTTCTTCTAAAATTTCAGAAAACCGGTGATAAATGAATGATGAAATCTAAGAAGGCAGTGAACACTCAAAATTGGTAAAGAAGTCACCAAACTGTGAAGTAATTCACAGCAATGCTTCTTGCAAACCAAATTTAGGATCAGGTGGGATTCACAGAAAAACGGACAATCGTTCATATTGTTATCACGAGCTTTGCACATAAAAGTTCAGAAAAGGTCGTGATCTAATTGAAAACTTCGACTTGGGCCTGGAGATATTAGATACAACGAAGCTTGGATCACGCAATTGTTGTTCTTGTCTAACGTTAGAATCCATGAAAAATTGTAGGGATAAACACTGTCACACTGTCACTACATAAACTAACATACGATTAACAAATGGAGGCAAAATGTAAAGTTGAAACTGAGACTTAAAGATCATAAAATCTCAACGCCGTTTTCAAACAAAATCAAATTTGGGAATTCTAGGAAGTGTCAACACTGTAATTATCGTTCCGAGACCAACGAGCATGCGCGTGTTTTGTGGTCAACGCATTATTGCGTACAAATGACTTACTCGATGACTTTGACGAAATTTTCCGATTGAAATCTTCTATTTCAGACGTTCGCTTGATTTCTAAAGTACTAGGTTGATTGAAATAGGTCATGCTTCTTTGTGCTGTTAGGTTTTTGGGTTTAGATTGGTGCCATAGGGCTTTCTTTACCAGATGCGATCGAAAATATGTGTGCTTGTGATTGTATCATGTGAGTGCACTATCACTCGTTGGAGTTCATTCTCAGAATTGATAGGGGAGATTTCAATATTCTCAGTTACAAACATAAATCCGAATTTTCTTAATCTCATCTCTATCTTCGTAACCTAGTGTTGCTGTCGTCATCGCTATGCCTTGTTTCAAAGATCGGGCCCTATACGATATTCGCAATAAATATCAATGTTTCTCTTCAAACTGTTGTTAACGTCTTTTTTTGTTACTTATCATGTCATCTCATAGCCAACAGCTGCTTTTATCTCACCATTTTTTCAAATTCTTTTCATTTTTTCTTTTTAGACTTATGGGTAGACGGCGAAGTGGTCGAAAGAATGCGAAATCGAGAGAACATCTTCTCAAGGACCAGAATGCGAATATTCCTGTAGTACCCGACACTTGTAGCGAAGAGGTATCGTCACAGAATGATATTCGAGCATTTCGTACAATATGATCATGAAATTTTCGACAAAGAGCATCTGGCAGAAGTTACATAGTTATTTCTAGTTGTACTTCTTTTCAGGCTTTATAGCCTTGAAAGATTTAGAGTCATGTTTCTATAGTATTGTTTGTGCATCATGAGTGCAGTTTTAGAGTTGCATATTTTAGAGAACGTTTGCTGTTTTTTGCGCAGTGTCTGCGCACACCCTTCGACGCACGTGGCTTTTTTGTTGTGCTCCTTTTTCAAATTTTTGATGTGAATTCGTATATCACACATTTTACAATGGTCGACGAGTGTCAGTGATTTTCTCAATGGTTTTTGATCAAATGGAAATAATTTTGTCTGAAGTGGCGTGGTTGCTTCCTCAGGCATTTTTGGAAGCGGAGCGCTCAGAAAATTCAAATGTCGTAGATTGATTTTCTATCTCGTTTTCTTTCATGTTATGCAGGAATACAAACTGTAGTAAGTTCGTTGAAGCTTGAAACTAGGATCTTACGGTCACCTTTGGATCACCTCGTAGGTCTGATCTGATTTATTGAATAATGCAAGGCTTAAAAAATCTAAATATTGACTAAATCAACAACAGCGTGATTTGTTCTTGCTTCCAAATACGATTTTATAATCTGATCAAACTGTAACCATTTAGATGCACGTGGACAACACGCAATCAAGCGCCACCTCCGATTCGTCGTGTACTCTCATAGAGTCTACAGAAGATGTGCGTCTAGTTTTACATGGTCATAATCAAAATCCACATATCACTACTGGATTACAGAATTATCTAAGCAGATGCAGCCATCTCGACTGTTTGGGCCGTTTATCACGTGAAAAGATCCGTTCAGCTTCCTCACTGGTAATTGTGCTTTTTTTACTGCAAATATTTAGTAATCTTCTGCTTCATTCCCGTACATCCTTTCGTACTCTGTTAACATTTCAGTCAAATTGCTGCCTGTGTGCTCGTCGTGATATGAAAGTGGCTGCACGATGGCTATGCCTTCACAATGATTGTCTTTCCAATGTTAACATGACAGTTTTATGCGGTTCCAAACCAGGCGAGCAATGTCACGCCACTGCGCATTACGAGGTAGCCTTATCTTTATTCCAGATATTTCAAAAACCATTGGTTTTTTTTTCAAGGCAAGTCCAGCACATTGCATTCTTTGGAACTTGAGGAATAGCCGTTTATACTGCATGCGGTGTGCAGCTGAAGTGTACAAGGATGCAAATTATCCTCCTCTTGATGCTGAGGTGGGAATTGTCTTCTTTAACAATTGGTCAGATGACTTTTGACCTTTCATGTAGTGCCGTTGCAGTTACGAGAACTTGCGCTCCAGAAAATTTTTTAGACTTCAAATAGTGGAGTCGCCTGTTCCATAGCTTTTCTTTCTGCGAGCAGATGTTGTTGGCATCTCAGACATGACACTTTTTGGCGTACTGGTGTTGTCGGCACTGCAGCGGCTCTATTTCAAACGTCCTAGACTGTAAATGCGCTTATCGCATGTCATGTTTAGGTCCGACAAGCATTGATGCCTCTGAAAAGGACACGTCATCAATCCTCGAATGCGCCATCTCAGGAGGTGATTGCCAATAAGAAGGAGATACCGCGCCGTAGACCAGTATGTTAACGTTGCATTCGTGAATTTCTCTTTCGAATTTTTGTTATATGAAGGAACCAGTCAAAACTCGTGGAAGATGCATAGAGAGCTTTGCGGTTGTGAATCGGCCGTTGGCCAAGGACATGGAGGATGGCTTTGATTTTGATTTCCCAAAAGGTACGCGTTAGAACGATTGGTAGATTTGGTCATTATCAGAACAAAGTTCTTTGAGTTTTTTTACACATTTCAGGATTAACTGGGCTGTACAATCTCGGCAATACATGCTACTTTAATGCGGCTATTCAAGTGTTATCGAACTGCCCTCCGTTTTCGGATTATTTCCGAGATAAGGTCAGTCAAGTCAGTTAAATGTTTGAACTCGTCAACTTGTTAGACAATTATCATCAAGTGGGAACGGATTGTTTGGGCGTTAACTTGAAAGGAGCTTGATGGATTCCTTTCATTGTCTAGACTAAAAAAGCTGCGCGAATTCTCTTTACAGCGTAAACTTCATGCTTTTCATACTTCTTGTGATCGTATTTTCTTTGTGCACTTTTTGTTTTTGGCAGGCAGTGTAAAAACAATAACTTTTAGGGTGATCTTCGTCCTTACGCAACTAGAGAACCTTTGGTGTCAAACACGATGGCTTTGCTTATCCAGAAGTTATGGAGCGCGCAGCGGGAGCCTGCCGTGTTCCCCAAGGCCTTGTTGACCGTAAGCATTTTGCTTGTACTGCATGAATTCCAATAATTTTGTGGCTACATCAGTATCGTGCTTGCCATACAGACATGTTTATCAGCAGACATGATTTGCCATGTCAAATTCCGTAATTTTAGCCCATATTTGTTCTTTAAAATAGAGGTTATTGTTGCTTTAGATATGACGACTTTTCAGCGTGTGCGAGACAATTTTCCCCAGTTCCGTGGATGGAATCAACAAGATGCTCAGGAACTTATACGCTGTCTTCTTGAACTTATTCACAGGTAATGCTAATTACTTAACGTTGATAAGAATCTAATATTGTTCGCTTTTAGTGAGCTCGGTCAACCTGTATACCCGCATGAAGACTACTCTGCATTTGCACCCAAAACTTTGGAACGGCACAGCTCAGCCAGTTCAAACAGCAGCGATCAGTACGTTAATGTTTTTTGCTGCTTGCAGAGTCTCCGTATCTATACAGAAATTTCCATTGCACAAATACATCCCCTCTGCTCTCTTGCATTCTTTTGCTGATTCCAGATTCGAAACAGCAGACAGCGGCTGGAGTTCAGATGGAGACACCACATGCACTTCCACAGACTCTCATGGGAGCTGTTCAGAAAAAACTGAGAAATGTAAGCGCTAGAAATTTCTTGCTGGTCAGGGCATTAAGCTACGCTCAACAACGTGCACTTTGTAGCCAAAACAGCCAATGTACCAGTGCGGTGGCGGTCGATTGTTACGGATGTTTTCGATGGATCCATTGAAAGCAGCGTCACTTGCCTTACATGCAAAACTGTGTCAACAACTACGGAGACTTTCCAAGTGAGTGCCGATAACGCGCTGTAGTGAGTGCGAATGAAAGGCTATCTGTTTGCAGGATCTGTCCCTACCAATTCCATCGTCCGAGCACTTGTCACGAATAAGGCAACGCACTCCGAGTGAAGCGGATGAAGAAGGCGGCTTGAATAGCGACTCAAATGGAGGATACGGGGTCCGTTTTTCCGGTTTTTTTTTTGATCTCGAGTTTTTTATGCCACTGGAGCAAGTTTTGTTTATAGTGGATCCCGTGGTTTTCATGGCTGCGTTCCTTCAGCAGCGTTTTCGTAACTCCGTCTGTCTCATTAGAGGACTGCTTGTCTGCTTTTTTCTCCCCAGATCGGTTGGTTGGCGACGATATGTACTCTTGCGATCGATGTAAGAAGTAAGTCTAGTGCATGTGCCATCATTTACCTCAAAGTGAATATAGAGTACCTGGCTCAAGGGCAGTGACAAAAGTTTCTTTTGCTTTTGCAAAAAGACGGTGGAGTTTGCACAAAGCCTACAGCCATTTTCTGAAAATCTGTAAATCTGTAAATTTCTGTAAATTTCCAACATCTTCTGAAAGTTGTAAATATGTTTTACTCTTCTCTATATCGTGACTACCACATTCCCGTAATACATGTCAGATATGCCTTTCTTTTCTTTCGCAGTCATTGAAGCTATTTTTTTGTACTTTTTTAAAACTAATCTACTACTCCAGATGAGATTTCGATGATTATAGGCTGAGAAATGGTGTGAAAACCTGTCGTATAAGTCGACTTCCCGAAGTGTTGTGTATTCACATCAAGCGTTTCAGACACGACTCTTACTGCAGCTCAAAGGTAATCATGAACTGGCGCAGAATATACAATCCGTCCGTATTTTTAGGTGTCTACCCGAGTTTCGTTCCCGCTTGTTGAACTAGATCTATCGCCTTTTTCCTCAACGTCCGAAAAAGTTCCTCTTTACGATTTGACTGGTTTTATTACTCACGAAGGAAGCGGAGCTGACAGTGGCCATTATCTAGCATATTGTCGAAATGAAGTGGACGGTAACTGGTCAGTTATTCGTAAAAGTTGATATTGCATGTTTTTTCTTTGTTTTCTCTGTTTTGCTATACATAAATTTCGTTTTATGTTGATTCGGTGTAGAAACGACTTTATTTACAGGTACGAGTATGATGACAGCACTTTAACGAAGCTTGACTCAGCTCATGTGCTCACAAAGGAAGCGTACGTACTCTTGTATCAGAAACGACCAACGCCTTCTGTTGAAGCTGCCCGAAATAAAACCATGGAGATGATATCCGCAGAACAGATTGTGAAGGTACCGGTTCATCTCTGAAAAGCTTTACTTGAATTTCTCACTTGTAGGCACCATCAAAGAGCCAGCTTTACATATCATCCGAATGGTTGCTAAAGCTTAGCACCTTCTCGGATCCTGGACCGGTGACAAACTACTCATTCCTTTGTCGTCATGGTCATCTACTACCACGTCGAGTTGATCACATCTCCAATCTATGCACTCCCGTTCCGGCAGTACTTGGACACTATTTGCTCAACAAGTCAGTCCTATAAACTTGTCTTTCTACTTTCTTGTTTTAGGGAAGAGAGTACTTCGTACTGTGCAATTTTCACTCATATCCTTGTTTTTTTCCTCAGATTTGGAGGAGGCCCTGCTGTGAGCGAACTGCACTACTGTCTAGTTTGTGACAAACACTGGCGCTGGCTTCAAGAGAAAAGAGCAGTAGAGCAGACGAGATTCCGACAGCTTGAAGAAGCAGTAAGTGGAAATGTATAGGATCAGACATTTTTGCTTATTTCGGATCACTTTTGTAATTGGTTACCAAGTTCACTGCAGTCATGTTTTCGTTGTCAAGGTTCGAGCCACGTTGTTTGTCGGAGCTGTTGATGCACTTTACTCGGGACATTTGCCACCATCGCTAATCAATCGGACGTGGTTCCAAAATTGGGAAAAATTCATCAGTCAGCCCTGTAGTGGTATGTTTCATCCTTTCATATCCTTGAAACCTATGCAACGTTTTTTTAAGCAGCATACTCCTCTTACTTATTTACATCAAAATATTGTTATGTCAGAGCCCCCTGGACCCATTGACAATACCGTTTTGTTATACAAAGCTGCTGATGGGACCGATCGACTGAAGCCGCGATCCAATTTCATGCGCATTGAGAGAGAACTTTATCTGTTCTTGAAAACAATATATGGAGGTGGTCCTGAGGTTTGTTGTCCGCTACTTTCTGTATTTGCACTTCCACATGCATTATGATTACACTTTCTTGTATGTGAAGCTTACTTCCATCGCCAGATAATCCGCTTTAGGTTTTCCTCACTGATCAGCCACAGTGGAGTGAAGCAGAGCTTCGAGACGTGCTCGCTTCCATAGAAGAAAAGCTATGGGCGGCGAATGCAAGATTGAAGAAGCAGGTCACAAGCAGTTTGTAGCTTCGTCCACAATCCAGCGCATTCATACTTTCTTTCTAAATCCTCATCCCTTGATTTTTACTTCGACACCCGTACACAAGGGTCATTCACTACCTCGTATAACTTGTGTGTGTCCTACCTTTTCTATCGGTTGTTTTAGTCATTTCTACACAAGCGGAGTCAGCGCTAGTCAAATCACATAGAGACTCCCCTTTATTGCGTACAAGCCATAAGCTTGCGTGCTGTTGTGTTTTAATGATGTTTTATGTTTGACGCAAATATTTCGGGTTATCTGTAGTGATTTTGAATTGCTTCCTAATGTTCACATTATTTATTGAAAAGGGGTATCTGTGCGAAATTCGCTAGTGATTTTAATCGTTTTATGGTTTTATGTGACAAATCTCCTTTTGGTATTCGATGCGCTAACTTTAACTAATCGAGTTCTTTGTTCCTTCATGTAGTTTGCCGTGCGTGTGGTGTAGGTGTGTTGAGCAGATTGGGTGGTACCATTTTGTCTCACTCGTTCACGATTGTTGTCGTTGAGCAGCTAACTCTACTTAACTGATGTTTCTGCATTCTTTAATGCGAAATCAAGTGTTTCAGGCAGACTTTTTATTTACAGCTTCGGTGTTTTATGTTGAGTCATTCCGAACGACCTTTGTACGAAATGTCTGCACGAGATTTGTCAAGAATTTTATGCAACGTCTCAACATATACTTTCACATGATGATATGTCAAATACAGGTGTTTTGGATATTTATGTCTTGTGTTTTTGCGTCTAGAAACATTAGTGGTTCAAAAAGTGTGGCTTGTTTCTTGTTCTTTTCTTCGAATTGCGGGACGCATGCCCTTTTGAATGTGCCAAATTCCTCCCCAATGTTTGGTGAGGCTACAGCTCTTTCTTTTGTAACTCAATAACATTCAAGGCAGTGATTATGCCACACTGTTGGCTTCATTCGGCGTTTGAAAGGGACGAGATAAAACCTAATGACTGCGAAAACCACAAATGTGATTTTGCTTCCTGGAATTTATTAACAACTCGTGCTTCATCGTGAGTTTGCCCAGCACTTGTGGATTTGATTCTGAGCGCAAGTTTGATCGTTACTGAGTTCAACTAACGCGACTATTTAGTCAGTTCCTAGTTTATCCGGTGGTGATACAATCTTTATTTATATATTTAATACCGACTTTGTGAAAGTCCATATATATTCGTGCGTCCACAGATTGTTTTAATTGTGATTCGAATAAATATAGATTTACAAGTTCTCCACAATATCTGCAAGACCTGCATGGTACTACTGAAGAGTGATTGGCGTTGTGAAATACACTTTCGAATAGACGTTGAGTTGATTGTAGACTTCCGAAGCGATGTAGTTCCATTGTGAACGCGTTACGAGCAGAGATGTTGTTACTCGAAGTGTTCCTCGCTGTAAAGGAAAAAAAATCACGCAACATAAAGGCCAATCCCGGAGGAGGGCCGATGGTCGATCATCGCGAAGCAGGCGCGTAACATGACGATGGGACAGTTGTCATCGCTGGAGCATTGGGACACACACAGGACCAATGAGCGCTCGCGCGCCGTCCATGCTCTGTTTTTGAGCGATCAGAATTCAAATTTTGTGAATTCTTTCACCTGTAAATTATCCGTCCCTGAATTAGTGTCCACGACAGTTCTAATTGCAGTAATGGCACCGATCTGTGGAACGCAAGTGCCAACAGCACGCCAGCCCTGAAATTAGCCTTTTTTCTTTGGTTTTATGAAAAAGAAAACTTTGATCGGGGACTCACTGCTTGTCCATTATCTCCACGGATAAGGCAATTTTGTGGTGTATAACCATTTACTTGCCAAGTTGTCCCTTGAGTGGACACCCCCAATTTGTTTAAAGATTTCAGAATCTGAACCGAAGATATCAGTTCGTTTTGTCTTTTCTTATTATTTTTTTTAAACAAAACTCACAGCTGCATCAATATCATTCTGCATGACACGCTGCGCATCATTAAGAGAAGCTTGCTGTCCAGCATATACTGTGGCATCGGCAACGTTGATCCCAGCTGGTGGAGGAGCCTTGAAGTAATTCTCATTTTGTGTAGAAGGGTAAAATGTAGGCGAGTTATCGCACGAAAGGGCAGGACGCAAATGCGGGCACTGTCTGCGTTTATTTAGGCAAACGCCCTCTCACCCCTCTCATAGTCTGCCTTCTCTTTCAAATAATGATTCTCTCATTGGCGCAATGCTGTCCGGCCCCTCCTTCCTTACGATGGCTGGCCGTGCTGGATACTTACCGTATAATAGGTCCAGGCAATGGGAGGATAAAATGAGAAGGTGAAGGTGGGATTGGTTACAATAGCCGCATCTGGACCTAAAATGTAAAATTATGAGTACCCAATTATGAGTCTTGTAAATTTCTGAATGAGTTGAAACAATTTTTTTGCGTAACCGTAAACTTGCTCGTTTGAATGTGGACTCTACGCGGATTGACCGATTTATTTGTCGGTACAATTCCGCTATGGCGCTAGCACGGCGCTGGCACGGGCAAACTTTGAACCAGGCTTTTGTGGAGACAAATGTGGCAGCTTGTCAATCAATAAAGTAATGTATAGCCTGGGAGATTTCACAACTAGGAATTGCACTTACGTTGCGCTTATGGCCATTTTACGCCCTCGCAAGAAAGTCGTTGACATTTGAAAACAGAGAACTGTTTTCGCGCAAATATTGTTGTCACCGCAGGATCACAATGTTAGCCGTCAAATCTACTAGTCTAGGAACTCGCTACGCTACCTACCTACACCAGGATTGCAAGTGGATGCCAGCTTGAAAGTAAGCAAAAATAATGTCGACTTGAACATGACCTTTCAGCCATGAATCATAACCACTCTCTTATATTCAAGAAAACTTGCGTCATTTCTAGTGATATGGAATTTTTATGTCACTATGCGCTTCAGAGTACAATGAGGGTCACCACGAGTGCAAAGAGATCAAATTGTTACGATAGTTATAACGTACGATAATGTTTGCTGAGAACTTTGGCTTCTGCTCTGCGTTGAAGGATAAAATCTGGAACTTGACCTTGACAAATGCACTATCCTTGTGAACAAGTTGAAGCTGTAGAAAAGATAGAGGAATAGAGATAAGCTTACCATTTCATTTTCGAAAATTACTGTAAGATTTTTCTACAACTGAAATTTATTCTTTCACTTGGCAAGACTTTTGCCCTTCCAAATTTCATCTTATCTAGTATGCAGTCAGTGTTGGTGACTTATTGACAGTAGTTTGAATATCGTTCTTGATCCCATGACAAAACCAGAATTCTCTCATTTTTGCAGCTCATACAAAAAAACATGAAAGATGTGAATCACAGCGAAGAATCCTTGAAGACACATGGTAGTCTTTGCGAGCTCATCCAGTCTTATTTACTTGGTGCAAACTTTGATTCAAATACTGAGTATGGAGATCGATTTTGGGACTGAGAAAGCAAGGTTAAATGCTGGTTGCTGCGGCCATATTAGTTCATTTTTTATGGAGATAAAAGTGCAAGACTTGTTAATCATTGTTGAGCCAAAGGTACTGCATTTTAACAGCAGGTTTGGTAGACGAAAGCATCCAAAGAAAAAAAATGTCTTGTCATGACTCACTGTAGACAGGCTAATAAGGATGCCATTTTATTCTTGCAATGAAATTTTCTTGTGGAGTTTTTGAAAAGAGACATGTCGTCTTTTGTTATTTTGTTTGCTTTTATTTAAGCAAATAATGTCTCTTTTGACCTATTTAGGTTGCAAGGTAAGTTTTAATCTTGAGTTCGGCGAAATCTTCTCTGAATATTAGCTAGAACTGCTAAGCAAGAGTCAATTATTCTGATGCAGTGATTCAGCCGAAACCTAGTACTAAGTTCGGCGAAATACAATAGATAGAGGACTTACAAACGGCTAATCATCTCTTTCCTAGCTGCTCGTTGTCGAGGAGATCTGTACACATCTCAATGATTTTCGAATCCTACAAAGATAAATCAATTCGCTAATTTACCAGATTCCACACAGATATAGAAATCTTCATCAATGCTTCCAGTGTCTAGTTCATTCATGGATTTGTTCGGTGGTGTAGATAGATACTGGGTTCGCAGATTTTATGCAGGGCTGAAAGGACTTGAAGGCAGTGATTGTTATCAGTGACTTTTCAAGTAGACTCCTTATCATACGCTTACAGGGTTACGTAACCATGTCAGCCTTGTGGGGTTGAGAAGCAAAATTCTATTCCTCAACCCCTACGAGATCGAGGAACAGAATTTTACAATCCTCCCCCAGAGCTGCGGAATACTCACTCACGTTTTACGAGAATGCAATAAAATTGACACTGAGACTTATGCGGCTGAAGACCCCATCTGTTACGGCGTATAGTTTGCATGTTCGGTCAGCAATGTATCTCTAGTACGCTTACAGGTTTAACATGTCAGTATAGCACCATTGCCAGCAGCCAGTCTGATGACTTGTCTCAACACGTTACGCACGCGGCAAGTTTTGTGGGAGACTGTCGAATGGCGCGTATTGATTAACTGCGACTAATCAAAAGAGCCATTAAAAAGTTCCAGTTTGGTTTGCTACTTCCGGGATTTCAACTAGTAATCCTTTGCTACTATTTCGGATATGATGACAAAAGTTTAGGCGTTTGGAAACCTCGCTTTGTGTAGAGTACACATCCTTTCTGGCAATGAGGACTGCCGAAGCGCGCGCGACACACACCCAAGTTTTGTTCCTCCTCTGTTTTCCTTACAATTAGACAAAACCCGCCGCATTTATTTCGTGCATGCCGGTGGTCCTGTGTGAAAAATTTTACGGTCATGTGGATCGGTCGACGCAACAACGCTCAAATCGTATTATTCTCAATAAAAAGTCTAAATAGTCCAACGGGATAAAATAGAGCATTTAATTGCAAAAAAATTAGTGACGCTGTTTTGGGCATTGAACGAGCTTTGGTGAAGCTTTTGGTGCAAAACTTCTGGGACAACCTAATGAACAATCAGAGTTATAAAAGCTCAAGAAATTGTAGTGTTCTGAATGGTAATAAGGTATAAGTTAAAAGTTTTTGCTTCTAGCAAGGCAAGTGTTTATATTAAGTATTTTCACCCTGCGAAGCGAAGCCACTGGGTTAGCAAAAATCTACATTGTGAATTTGATTTTAGTCCACGGAATTTCCTTTTCAGCCGTTTTTTGCTTTTCTGGTCAAGCACCTTTGGGACGCAGATGTTTAGATCATTGCCAAATAAACGCACAATTCATGTACTGTTGTAATCGTTAAGAGTGGGTGCAACTGCTTATGTTGAGGTACTGCAACGGAAATTATTTGACTCTTTTTCATATGCCGCTGATGGGTGGAAGACTACATGTCGCCGAAAGTGGGTACGCGGACTCTGCGACAGAGCACACAGCTCCAAACATTACAGAAATACAGATTTGTATCAGCTGCCAGCGCGGGGTGGATCCTAACGGCGACATATAGTCCCCTACCTGCCGCTGATCATAGACAACTATTTAGTCATGTCTCTCCTTTACCACAAAAGTACCATAACAATATATCAGGTTGTTCACTACGAATGAGGGTAGCTAGAAACAATTTAACGATTTCTTGCACATACAATAGGGTAATATTGTACAAACAGTATTAGACTGGTTAGTTAGATTAGTTTTTCGTACCGTTCTCAAAAATTCATAACTTGATTCTTTCTTAGGTGTTTTACATATTATTATTATTCGAAAGGGGAAATTATGGTCTTCACAGCAGTATGTTTCTGACTTCCTATTAAGAATACCCTGCATAGACGCCATAGAAGAAACACTCAAATTTTGGTTTTGTGTAGGATAGCCACACTGGGTATAACAGGTTTTATCACATGCTCTTTTCACTTGAGCAAAAATTGTGTCAATTGAGCATTTCTTTAGAAAATTATGATTTTTCGAGCAAGCAGTACAAAATGGCAAATTGATATTATTCTCGAAAATCGTAATTTTTCTAGAGAAAAGCTCAGTCAACATAATTTTCATCCAGGTAGAAATAGCAGTGTTTGTAGACCTATAATGTTAGGTGGGTCCTACAGTTCGTGCCGTTTCTTGCACCTATTCTACAATCGTTCAAAACGAAGATAAACAAATCGTTCAAACATTGTTCGATGCAAAATTTCTACCTCTTTCTAGTAGCTGTATTTAAGTTGTGATTGCTTCGACGAGTGCTGAGATACTGCCAAAAACTAGGACCCTTCTTTTTACCATTTCTAACTTTCGCTAATTTTCAGAATTTTCATTTTGGATTTTTGAAGGTGCTTCAATAACCGCCTGATAGGACAAACTTTTGCAAATCAACGCAATTTTGTGCATCTCTCTAACATGCTTTCTGGAATCACTAAAATATATTTTTTGAAGTGACTAAATTCTATATTTGGCTCATTCTAATCTCGCAATATTCCAGACACTGGACATAGGTACAATTTGCATTTTTCCCCGTCTTTCTGAAGGCTCCCTTTTCTTCGGGAAACATTCGACTTTTGCAGAGAAAATCGCTATACTTCCCAATTTTAGGAGTGCGCAAGGTTGTAGTGAAAATTCCGGAATCTATCCGTTTTCACGCCGTAATCGCTCACTTACTTCGCAATACTAGTAATAGTAATAACCGAGTTTTAGAACTTCAATATTTTGAGGATTTCGCAGTGTTTGGTGCAATTATATGTCACACGATTTTTTCAAAAAATTCAATGCTCTGGTAAGATAATTCAGCAGAATTTTAAGAAAAAGATGAAAAAATGCAAAAAATTGCATTAATTTGCAAAAGTTTGTCCTATCAGGCGGTTATTAAAGCACCTTCAAAAGTCCAAAATGAAAATTCTAAAATTAGCAAAATTCAGACATGATAAAAGTGGAGGGTTCTAGTTTTCGGCAATTATCTCACCGCTTGTCGAAGCAGTCACAAAGGAAACATAACTGCTGGAAAGAGGAAGACATTCGGCATGGAACACTTTTTGGATGTTGTCTATCTTTATTCTGAATGATTTGAGGATTTTAGGTCTAAAAAACGGCACGAACTTTCGGACCCATCTAATACCAACAGTTCCGATTTTTAGTCAAAAATTCGTGGCGACTCTAAAAGAAAAACCAAAATTTAGGTGATTTTCTTGGCTTCTACTATGCAATGCGTGCTCAATAGGAAGCAGAACACATATTGCTCCGAAGCCCTAATTTCCCCTCTAAATAATAATGAACAGGTGTAAATCAATGAATGAGGGAAGTTATAAATTTTTGAAATGTATTATTTTCACCCTGCTGTGAGGGCAAGACATCGTCAAATTCTTTCTATTGGGTTATAACATAAGCCTTGTACACTTTAACTTTATGGCGATGAGTCGTACACTTCATATTTTCAATAGGACTCTAGCATACCGTTCGATAGAGCAAGGCAAGCTCTACAGAAGTTGTGCAAAATTTCGCACCAGCTTCGATCCACCGTAGAAGTGCATGGAATTGCATCCAGAATCTGAGTTGTACTGGAGGCTTAAAAAATTGAGAAAAGTTCATATCCTTGTTCGGAAAAATCTTACGGTCCTCCAGCTTGCTCACACAAATTACACGCCACATCACGCTCTCCATTGTACCGTTGCATAATGCCAGCATTAATTTTAGCATGGAACACCTGAGTGAGGAGAGGTGAATTGGTAATTTTCGAATACTAAAGCCTGTGGGAAGCTGGAAATTCACAATTATAGAAAGCATAGAACGAAAAATAGAAAGCATTGCAACCGGGAGTAATTGTGACTTTTTCCAGTAATTCAATCCATTGTAATGCCTTGACGAAATCCGTGGCATTCATA